TCTCTCTCTCTCTCTCTCTCTCTCTCTCTCTCTCTCTCTCTCTCTCTCTCTCCTCTCGCTCTTTCAAATCCCCTTGGACGAGATCGCGTCTCCTCTCCCTCTTCCTCCTCCTCCTCCCTTATTCGAATATTCCAACTCTTGGACACCCCGTCATCTATCCTATTCTTCTTCTTCAGGTAATCTGACCAACTTGAAAACGAGGTACATTATCCCGGTCGATCTGAACTCGATAATATATCGGAACGCGGTGCTGCTGGCACAGTACAATCAGAGGATGGGAAACGAGTCGAAGGTGGCGTATTACCAGAAAAGGGCGGCCGAATGGAAGAAGGCGATCACGGCGGTGCTGTGGCACGACGAGGTCGGCGCATGGCTCGACTACGACATGTTGAACGACATAAAGAGGGATTACTTCTATCCGACCAACATCCTCCCCCTGTGGACCGATTGTTACGACATCGCCAAGAGGGAGGAGTACGTGTCCAAGGTGCTCAAGTATCTGGAGAAGAACAAGATAATGTTGAATCTTGGCGGTATACCGACCACGCTCGAGCACTCGGGCGAGCAATGGGATTATCCCAACGCTTGGCCACCACTTCAATATTTCGTGATCATGGCGTTGAACAAGACGGAGGACCCGTGGGCCCAGAGGCTCGCCTACGAGATAAGCGAGCGATGGGTTCGAAGCAACTACAAAGCGTACAACGAGACGCACAGCATGTTCGAGAAGGTAATATTGATGATTATACGGACGGATGTAATCCCGATACGTTGCCACGTTGCCGCTCGCCAACTCGGTTACGCTCGATCGTTTTTTCCCAGTACGACGCGACCGTCTCGGGCGGGCACGGGGGCGGTGGCGAGTACGAGGTCCAACTAGGTTTCGGTTGGAGCAACGGGGTCATCTTGGACTTGCTGAACAGGTACGGGGACAAATTGACGGCCGAGGATCGTTTCGTGGCGACCTTCCATTCCAACTCGACCCCTCAACCGGTCGTCGTCTCGACCGCCGGCCAAGTGATGACCGGTATTCTCGCCCTCGTCATATCCTTGGCCGCAGGATTTATCGGGTGAGGTGAGTCGTTTATCGTCCGTCCCCTGTATATATATATATATATATATATATATATATATATGTATATATATGCATATGTATATACATATATATACATATATACATATATACATATATATACGTATACATATTATATATATATGTATGCATATGTATATATATGTATATATATATGAGTTTCGTTTCGCTCGTCGATACGATAAACCAACTTCTCCTCCATTTTGCTTTATGTTTCAGATATCCTTGCTTGCGCCATTTCTCGCACCTGTTCGTCTATCTATCGGTCTATCTGGGAGAATTTTTTTGTGCCAAGCGTGCACAAAAACGCCGATCTCGCTTTCTCTCTTTTTTCTCCGTTTCTC